ATGTTAGTAAATTTGTTTATCTTCACCAAACTTTGTTAGTCAATTATCGCTAACATTTTTCAGTCCATGTTATATATTCCATTGTTAACTTTTTAAAGGAAAAAAAAAAAACGAATAATCAGCTACAGTGGAAAGCTAGCTATGGCGGTATTGGTGGCCTGGACGAAATTGATATTGTACGGATTAATTAATAGTAGCTTGATCAATATGCTGATCTTAATTAAGTCTCCTTAATGAACCCCGGTGTGGAGACAAAAGGACAATTCTCTAATTTACAGCAAATACTTTGAAGAATCTCTAAACAAAAAAAAAAAAAAAAAAACTCTACCCTAACACATGTTGGACTACCCGTACTAATTAATCATCATAAAATGTGAAGAAGGGGATTTTATCCCATATTGTCTCTTTGCTGAGAATATGCACTACATAAGATTTGCAGTCTTTGTCGACTTACTACATCATTAAGAATAAGCAAGGACAAGGTGAGCTGGTTTAAAAACAAATGATATTCTTTCCTAATTTCATTCTTAAAACATTGTTTTCCTTTTGACTATACTATTAAGCATCAACTGACTCTGACATTTTTGTTATCGATCTCAGAGAGACTAAACCAATTCGTTTACTGTTAGTGGCTATAAACATACTGACACTTGGTGATCTTGCACAATGGATCGATCGAGGAATATTTCCTATCTTCAGTTAAATCAGATTAAGTTCATTGAATCCATAGCCATAACGTTAAAATTTGGGAAAAGAAACAATGACAAGACATGTTGATCCGACAATCTGTAAATATTTCCCTTCTCCAGGTACAAAATCTGAACGTAAGGTGTCATAATTGTGGTTAATTTATTCTCTCTAATAGGTGATTGTTGTACGACCAAAGGCATAAGCAATGCTGGATTTATCATGTGATGTTATTTGATTCAAATGACAGTGTGTACGTTTAATTTCTTTTTTAGAAAAATGTAGGGCGGTATTTGATGGGCCGGTATTTTAAAGAAAATTACAATATGCAGGGTTATATAAACACCCTTAATTTGATTTGATCAACGTATGTATGTAAAAGACAGGGGAAAGAACCATCCTTCTTTTATTTGAAAATGAGCAAAATAACAAATAGAGGAGAGGATAAGGGATATGGTGGTGGCGGGTTTTGGCGCGTATTTTGTTGGTAGAATCATACTACTTCATATATATATATATATATATATATATATATATATTTGCTGTTGCTATACATATTAGATAGAAAGAACAAATGATTTTCTATGATTTCATTCAATCTTTACATATATAAGCGGCTAGAAACTAAAACTATTTAAATTCTAAAGTTTTTATAATAATCTAACAAAAATTCATTATTTTTTTTTATGAGACGAGTGAAGTGAGATCAAAATGGAGTTAAAATCAATCTTGTTTAATTGAATCAATCGGGATCGTATTGTGAATTGCGAGTATCAAGCATAATTTGTGTACCATGCCATTCTTTTTCTCAGTCAGACCAACATATAATTGTACCTGATCAGTTGCCACTTTTGCCAGCTTGCCTCGGAAAGGAACAAACGAATGTTTTGAAGGCGTGCTTGGTTCGACATGTAGACTCGAAATCTCAGTAGGCATGATCGAATAATATACCTTCACAGCTTGCTTCATCTCTCATAATTATTTTTTTATATATAAAAATTTTCTCCATTGAAATTAATATTTGCTAAAACACCATATCTCCTGTTCAGACTAATTCACATTCAACTCGAAATGGCTCAATTATGAGATTATATGTAAAACCATTATGTCTTTCTCTTTTGAGAATTAATTGCCGCGGTTAATGACTTTCGTGTGGTTGTTGGCTCAACACTACACGTATGTAATCAGTGAAATCATCAAACTAAAGTGAGGAATTAATCATGTGTTTTCTTATTTTTTTTCGTAAAATAAATTTATAAGTTGTGATAATAAAATATTACACACATCACATTCAGATTAATTCTCCTTCAAATGCACAATAGATGATGGTTTAGCGCATCTCATGGTCCCCGTTTCATACACAAACTAATTGCCTGAATTTATTCTTTACCCTTCTTGATTCAAAGTTCAAAACACCCCAATAGGCTTATTCGCTTTGTATCATCCATTCCAAAGTTAGGTGGTAACTAATATTATGTGGATTTTTGGAACACGTAATTTGATGATTTGGTTTGATGCTTTAAAACTGCGCTGTTGATCACATACGATTCATATGACGCCACTGAAGAGATCACAATGTGGATATGATTCTTCTGACCCTAAGTTGAAGTATATACTCCCTCTGTCCCATAATTATTGTCCAGTTTGGATTTTTATTTTTAGTTCAAATTGTACTAAAAGTAAAATCTCAAACTTGACAATAATTTTGGGACAGAGGGAGTACTAAACAAAATAAAATTAATCAATTAAAAAGGAAAGTACACATTAAATTCTTGTACAACAAAAAATTAATATAAAACCCTTTAATTATATATTTATTCGTAATTAAGAACATCGTTTGCCATTGAAATGTCATAACCTAGCAAGTAACCAGTCCGCGGCCATCCATCAATCACTATATATATATATATATATATATATATATATATCCATTTCATCATAATCTCGATGCCATCTAATTGTATTTTTAAGACCAAAAGAAAAAAAAAAGGGGTCGTGCTTGGTTTGTATGGGAATTAAGAAAGAGAATCATTGTATAGGGAATGAATGGGATGATTGTGATGGATACAATAGATTAATAGTTGAATAACTACAACGTGGAGGTATGGTATTGGTGGATATCCACGAGCACAAACTAAAAATGTTAAGGAGGCTATTCATGAAGTACTAATAACGATAACCTTCTAGAATTAGGAAGGTTGACTCAAATTCGTTTTGGTGTTTAATTAGATCATCATGAATTTAAATGGATAATATTAAGGTAAAACCCGAGTTACTTTGATCATTCGAGGTAATATTATACAAGGAACAAATCTATCCGATAAAAGGTCCCTCGATGAATGCTTTATTTTCGCTCTCTCCTTGGTGGTCAAGTCACACAATTCGCATGTCTTGAATTTCCCAATGTATATGGTCTTTTCAATTTGACATTTAAGTTTTAATTTAGTTACAATTATTTTGAAAGTATTAAAAAAAATGGAACTTGATTAATTCAAATCGCGGTAGATTATCGTCAATGATTAGGACACGAACGCTTATGATTACAACCATCTCTTTTGATTTACTGGGTTCATTCTGGTAGTATACACATTCTCTTGAAAAAGGTAGTGGGGCCGTCATATCTTCTTGTAGCCTCTATTTTGTCATTTTTCTGAATGCAAAATCAGAATCTTCACATCTTTGATTTTTTTTTTTCGCAGTATCTGTGTCCGATCAGCAACACTTAACTACTCCTAGATCTTCTTCTTTGTATTATTATTATCGTAGTACTACGTACCATCCTCCCAAGTTCCCAACAACAACAATGTTACATTAATTGCCTTTATGTTTTTACTTGTAAATTTCAATCGAGTTGGTATGTCTAATTAATCGAGAATGAAATTTAACTAACGTAGTTAAAACAATCATAACATGAAATCACCAGTTTGATTCTCACCAACCGCAAACACTATGCATCTAGGAAATAAGTAATTACCACTTCTATTTTTTATTTTTTAGTTTTTATCTATCACTTTAGAATGACCCAAAAAAAATTTTTATCTGTGGAGTTTCATTTCTACTACACCATAAAATATAATTTTTTCAATTTTATCCTATTACTCTCTACTTTTAATAACATATATTAATGACAATTACTTATTCTTTTACTTCATTAATTTTAAATTTTTGTAGAATTCGAATATTTTTAATTAGGATCAAGAAAGATACTATTATACTTGAAAATTAAATTATTAATCATTGTTTTTTAATATCCGTACAAATCCTAAAGCCACATAAAAAATGGAGGTAGTAATTGAGCGATGTTAATTCCAGGTCAAGAGATGAGTAGCGATTGGGGAATGTGATGTGACGCTTTAAACAGTTAAACGCATAGTACGGGCACTCCAAAACTTTTGGGCTAAAAACATTATGTCAGTAAACTGCTACATTAGGGTGAGACCCCCAACGCTAATTTTGCCGAAATCCAGCTCAACACGGTCACCTATCCGCTAGTATTAGTAGTATAACCTTAAACAACCATTTTGCATGTTGACATGTTCTCTTGTCAATTTTGACGAAATCCTCTGTATAGTGGTATTACATCCATTCCAATTCAATAAACACAGTTCTAAAAATCAAATTGAGTTTCTTAAACTATATTTTGGGATATTCCATGAGGCGTTTTCGAAATGGACACAAATCATATTCAGTCTGTTACTCCTTTGACTCGAAAAACTAGACATTTTTTAGAAGTGAATAATAATACTTTTTCTATCTCAAAATGATTGTTTAATTCAAAATTTTATTTTATTAGATAATTATTTTGAGACAGGGAGTACTAACTTGCAACTTACTACATTACTCCATATGTGGTCAGAATTAAGAAGAAGTCAAGAAACCTAGTAAAATTTAATTTAATGGAAGAATTTAAAAGACATGTGAAAAGATAAAAAGAGGGAACAAAGAGAACTTTTTGTACTGCTAGGAGTAGTAATTCTAAAGATTAACAACCTCACCATCCCCATCAAGGTAACCACCGTATTTGCTTTGGATCATGTGGAGATTTGAGTTTATATCAAGTGTGAAATGATGACAGAAGCTAACAGTTGTCACCGCTGATTAATTTAAGTTTGGAAAAGGCGAGTTTTGATCTCGCTTACTTTGCAGAATCAATAATTGGTTCTTTTTTATATTTTCATTTTATTTTATTTTTATTTTTCCCCCATTAATTTTCTTTGCATAATGTTTAAAGGTCCCCCCCACCCCACCAAGAAGTCCAGCACTTCCTATATAAGAGGGGCTTTGACAAATCAGGCTTCATAGTTCATTCAAACCACCATTCATTTCTAACTCCTCTTTTGAGTCTTTCTCCTCTTTCTCTCTACATATAAAAAGAAATATCCCTATTCTTTGAAAGGCTTCCCTGAGCAGCAAGTTGCAAATTATAGTCAAAATAACAAAGATATAAATGGCTGTAGAGATTGTGCCCCGGCCTAGTGTACCGTTGTCGAACGTCGCGGTTTCCGACACTCATGGAGAAGATTCTCCTTATTTTGCAGGATGGAAAGCCTATGATGAAGACCCTTATGATGAATCATCCAATCCAACTGGAGTCATTCAGATGGGATTAGCAGAAAATCAAGTCAGTTTTTTTTCCCTTCAATTTCTCTGTTTCCTCCACGAATGAATGTGTACTCAAAGATTCTAATATGGGTTGTTCCGTACAGGTTTCATTTGATTTGCTGGAAGAATATTTGGAGAATCATTCCCAAGAAACTAGCTGCTCTGGTAACAAAATTTCCAGCTTCAGAGAAAATGCATTATTTCAGGATTACCATGGTCTTCTATCTTTCAGAAAGGTACATACATATATATTCGGAAAAAAAACTGCATGTCTCATTTTAATTATTGCATGAATTCAGAAGTTATAGGAATTTGATCAACAAATAAAGTTGTATGCTTTTCACCAAATTCAGGCAATGGCAAGCTTCATGGAACAAATAAGAGGTGGAAGAGCAAAATTCAATCCTGACAGAGTTGTTATAACTGCCGGCGCCACCGCAGCTAATGAACTTTTAACTTTCATTCTGGCTAATCCAGGGGATGCTTTACTAGTCCCAACTCCATATTATCCAGGGTATGCTCATTTTACGAGTTCTAAATAAATAGTCCACTTTGTTGAGCTAAAACAGTACGTTTTGGTTATTCGTTTTCTTAGCTGAATTGGTAATCTTACATTTTTTTTTCCCCCTTTTTGGCAGATTTGACAGAGATTTGAGATGGAGAACCGGAGTAAACATTGTACCAGTCCATTGTGACAGCTCAAACAATTTCCAAATTACAATTGAAGCCTTAGAAGCAGCATATGCTTCTGCAGCATCCAACAACATCAAAGTAAAAGGCGTTCTCATCACAAATCCGTCAAATCCATTAGGGGCCACAATTCAACGATCTATCTTGGAAGACATTCTCGATTTCGTCACCCGAAAAAACATCCACCTCGTATCCGACGAAATCTACTCGGGATCTTCCTTCTCCTCGGACGAATTCGTGAGCATTGCCGAGGTCCTGGAAGCCAGAAACTACAGAGACTCGGAAAGGGTTCACATTGTTTACAGCCTCTCAAAGGATTTAGGCCTCCCGGGTTTCCGGGTCGGGACCATTTATTCCTACAACGACAACGTTGTCACAACAGCAAGAAGGATGTCGAGTTTCACTTTAATTTCATCACAGACACAACAGCTCTTAGCATCCATGTTGTCAGACAAGGGATTCACGGAAAATTACATAAGGACTAATCGAGAAAGGCTGAGAAAAAGGTACAATAAGATCATCGACGGGTTGCGAAAAGCCGGTATCGAATGCTTACAAGGGAATGCGGGGTTGTTTTGCTGGATGAATTTGAGTCCATTGCTGGAAAAACCCACAAGAGAATCTGAATTGGCTCTTTGGAAATCGATTCTGTATGAAGTGAAATTGAATATTTCTCCAGGATCTTCTTGCCATTGTTCGGAGCCCGGATGGTTTAGAGTCTGTTTTGCCAACATGAGCGAGAAGACACTGGAAATCGCTTTGCAAAGAATACAGGATTTCATGGAAGCCAGGAAAAAGTGAAACAGCAGTAACTAAAGCTAGTTAAATTATTCTTTACTTTTTTACCATTGACTTTTTAATTTCTGTTTTTCATTTTCTTTTTTCTTTTGTCCCGGGATTTTTTTTTTTTTAATTCTTTAGATGTCAAGACTGTAATCCCAGAAATTGGGATTTGTTGCCATCGATTGGAGGAGATCCGATCAATACGTTGTAAAAAGTTTTGGCGTGTATGGAATTTTACTTCTTTTCCCGGGATCAAAAGAAGAAAAAGAAAAAACAGTTTCGAAATAATTAATGGAGAATTATTTTTGCTTTTGTTTTGGGACCAAGTATTGAATTTTATTTTTTTTTTATTTTACTCTCAAATTTAATTATTTCTTCCATTTGTTAATATTTCGTCTCCCTGTTGATCCTTACTGTCACCATGATTGGGGGTATGGAACTCGCGAGTATTATTATCAATTGTTAATTTTCAGTTTGTTTTTCAAGTTGATGGTCTCAACTCTCTAGCCACTCTCCAGTTTAGAGAAAGACTGATAAAATTAATCATTAATCCAGGTTCCAAGTGGTAACAAGTCACGGTCAACGTGGCCAAGCCTTCCCCCAAAAAGAAATTATTAAAAATAAAAATCCAGAATTTGTGAAAATGATTGATAAAATCAAACTGAAGTACTCATGTACCTTTTGCACACTATGGTTTCAGATATTTATAGCTTATAATTAATCTCCAAGAAAATTAAAATGTTACCCGAAATTGATCTGAATAATTAAACTGCAAAGAAAATTGAGGCTTTTGTTTTTTTTTTTTTATGTTTCTTTTATCCTTAAGATTGATCCAGAGATGAAGTTATTGTGGTTATGCACTTTATAAGTATATAATGCAGTTAAACCATATCAAATGTCAATGCCGCGTGTTTTGTTTGTTCTACCTAACAATTGAATGTTTGTTCCACCCGACCAATATATATTGCTTTTATTTTCAATATCACACAAGTCGTGCGTTCACAAATACTGATATTATGTTTGAATTCTGCAATACTCTTATAATTTATCATATGTATTCCTTTTTTTGAGATATATATATATATATATATATCATTATTCTTCAACACATAAAATGAGGGTAACATGCCTTTTTTTTCTGTTAGGTGGTAGGACTAGCTATATTTTCAATGAAAAGACATGCCAAATTAATCAAAATTTAATAAGTTATAACACTCAATTTTGAAATGGCAATTTTACCTTCTGATTATATACGCCACATAAGTCATCGATCCTCCATTTATAAAAAAAAAAAAAGTCATCGATCTGAATGCATTTTTATTTCCCTAACTAGAGCATTTACTAGTGGACTGGCGAAGAGGGATTTATCGGGATTAAAACAAAAGAAAAATAAAAGAAAAAAAAAATGATGTCTCCTACACATCTTTGTAATTATTTTTTTCCCTACCTAGTCATAAAAACAATACATGAAAAAGAATTTACAAAATAACAAAAGGGGGAAAAAAGAGAGAGGAAAATGGAAAAATAGAGAAGCCAAAGACGTTAAATAAATAATATAAGTATCCCACACCGTCATTGTTGATTTTCTGTTGCTTGGTTTGTACGTTTTGGCTTCACGAAGCCAGCAAGTTTTGAACTCTAACGAATTGATAAACTATCATGAATTTAACGGGCACTTTTAGGCTGCTATTATGTCCTTGTTTCACAAAGAAAAATAATTGATCAGAAAATATGATTTATCTCATGTTTTTATTTTTTGCTTTTTTAGAAGCTTTGTTGAATAAAAAATTATTAGTTAGTTAGAGGAGCTAGCTAGCACATCAGTGCTAGGCTTTTGATACGATTGACGTAAACTCAAACGATTAACGTGAGAAATAGGATAACAATCCGGATTGCGTTTCTAATAAATTAATGGATCAAATAGGTCAAAAGCTATTAAATAAAATGAAAACCATCAAAACCCTCAAATACACAATCAGCTTCAAGATTGGAAAGTAAAACCACCACCCCCCAGGAGCTTTGACATTTCGAGCAGTTCATAATAAATGCCATGAACCTGTCATGATCCACACCAAAAATGAGTGTGTCATTTGATTATGATGTGGTACAAATTGAATGAAACTACATTTGGCAATTCTCATTCACAAGAAATTACTACTACTAACCAAAGTCCAAAACTCGTCATTACTTAGACATTCCATCTAAAACGAATCAATTCTTAACAGATGAAATAAAATATTAAAATGAATAATACTTTTTTCGGAATAAGAAAGTATAGTTTCTAAAACAAATACACTAATGAATGATTCTCAGGGATTGAAAACTGCAAGTCGAATTATGAGATTTTTTTTTTCCTTCTACATTTTGTTTCTTTAAGGGAGTCAACGGGGGGCATTTCAGTTATGATGACTCGAAGTGTGATGACTTCGAAGTACTCTTGGACCGGCCAGTTGCAATTGACAATTGGAAATTGTCACTAACTTCAGCTGAGTTGTAAACTAGGTTATTTTGATTTAGGTTTTCTTAATAATTACATTTCAGGTACATACACGAATTATGTTATTCATTTGGTCAGTAACAAATCACGATCAATAACCGCGGGTCATCTTTAATATCGTCAAGAAATTCTAATATTAATCCATGCAAAATTTTTCCTTTTTCTTTCCTCTTAATTATATATTGACTTTGTTTTTTAACTACCTTTGTCTCAAAAAATAGTTCACATTGAGTTTCAAATTTACACTAAAACTAGTACAAATCTTAAAACTCAATATAAACTATTTTTTTTTGGGACAGGGTGAGTATTTAATTTTGAGATCAAAGCTACACATGTGTTTCTTATATATGGTGCATATCGGTCGTTCCTTACGTTCAACCATGTGAATTTTAATGAAAGGATGTAGTGTCTTTCTTAACAGAGAATGTTTCAAGCGATTATTTTTTCTATTGAGGGAGTAAACAGTTGCACTGTAGTGTTGAAAACTAGCTAGGGTTTACTGAATTCAAATTAATAGAAAAAAAAAATCAATGCATATATGCCAATTGACTTCCCTAAAAGTCGTATGGTTCGTACCAGCTAGTGATGTCAAAATTGAGTTTACTAAAAATTTTCAACAAATTCATTAATCAATTATATTCTGTCTAGCTTTTGACTTCTCCAAAAGTCTAAATAAATATCGATCAGAAAATCAATAGAAAAAATATTTGGCTTATCTAATGACTGACCTAATACATCAAAGTTTCGAAAGTGTCAAAAGGCATTTGAAGATATTCTGATCAATTTCATCAATTAAGAGAAGGTCTTAATCAGCTCTCTGGAGTCGGCCACTTGGCATCATAGTTTCAAACTGAATTTTCTGTTTATTGCAATTTGGTTGACTTGGCTAAGGGGCTTTTCATTGGTGAGTAATACTCGTTGTTCTTGCAGCTCATCAATTTGTAGAAATTAGGGTCAGACTAACAAACTTTGTTTAGCATATGGGCAAATTTTGACGTCAAGTATCCCTTTTATTCCAGTTGTCATCTGACTCATCGTACCCCATCAAGTTTTTCTTATTGTCACCATCATTCTAGATATATCTTATACATTCGTTTTTTAAATTAAAACAGTACAATAAATTTGTTCAGTGATGTGCGTAAAACTACGAAAGAAACATCTTAATTAATTTACAGAAGTAGCTGATCGTGTATCCTTTAAGGCTTATACGCAATTAATTGTATTCGGACTAAGTTGGAAATTAACTCAACAAAAGGATGATATAACATGCAGAGACTCATTCTTTATCAAGTCTTAAAAAAGAATACTCTCTCCTTCAGGTTTTCTCCTAAAAAAAATTATTTTGCTTGATCATAATTTTTGTTAATTAATACGTATTTTACATTTCAAGTTACTTTTACGTGTCTTTTTGGACGATGGAGTGATGACTTTTCTAATACCTTATTGTTTAATTACATGGTTGATTTCTCCTAGTCCTATCTACCAAGTCATGAATGACGGTGCGGATGGTTTTCCTAAACCACAAATCTCATTTTGGTTGTTTCACCAAAACCTTAAAGAGGTAAATGTCAACTAACCGACTTTTTGTACTTTTTTTCATTAAGACTTTGTAAATCTATATATAAACACTTAATTAATCCGTAAACCTTTATTTTAACCTTATTTGGTAACGCTTTTAAACACCAATAAAAAATCAATGTAAATACGGTTATATACGTTATATGAATTATATGTCAATCAGTATCATGATACAAAAGAATGGAAATTTCATAACAAGCAGAAGATGTGCGACGGTGCAGCTAGCGACCGCCGATACATGATAAAAAACAAAGCCCATGCAGGGAGTTACGAACAACAAAAGGGCTATAAGTCAAAAAGAGGCCGGAAAGGAATCTCCAATTTGGGAACATATTTGTCCAACATTGATTCTATTGTACACGTTTACGTAGGTTTTGTTTTCTTCATTTTACGGCGGTTATCCCATAAGCTCCTAGTTGCTAAGCTAATATATATATATATATATATATTATATAAGCATCCATATTAATTAGTTGCTAGCCTAGCTAGCCTATTGTCGGTATAGTTAGTTACTTGCTAGTTGTTTTCATAAAGATCTATTGTTTGGAAATTACTCATTCCATCTCATGTTAATCGTCTATTTTTTATTTTTTTTGAAAGTGCATATATCTACATTTAATCATGTGTCTAGGTTTGTTCTACTTCATCAATTGATCTTTTCGACATCTATTAGGTCGGATGATTTCGCAACACAAAAGCTTATTACATGTTTATACAGAAGGGGGAAACCAATAATGGAAGTGGAAAAAAAAAAGATTATTTTGGTTATCTAACTTTGATACTCCTTTCATCCTAAAATTATTGTCTATTTTGAATTTTCAGTTTTAGTTCAACTTGTACTAAAAATAAAAATTCAAATTGGACAATAATTTTGAGACAGAGAGAATATATTTTTATTTCCGTTTCTAAATGATTGTCAATTTTGATGTCCATAAATTCTAATAGCTTTTAAGGGCTAGATGTAATGGCCGTCTTCATCTTGATTGTTGATGATCTTGTTAAGTAATCGGGTAAACCATGGGATGATGCCGTCGTCGAGATCGTGATCCACGTGCTTCGGGAGTTCAATCATGCGATAGCAATGCCCACATGAGTGACTTTACTTTATCGAAGATAGTTGTGTCAAAAAAAAATTAATAATAATAATCACCCATCCCATCTAACAAGACCAACTTTTGGAATTTAATTAATTATATACTGGTAAGTAGTACTACACTTAGCT